CCAGTTTGATTGAAATGTACAATTTTCGGGCAACTTTTCTAAAATTTTCGTTATGATTTTCTTTTAGAAAAAGTCTTCAGCTACTGGAAACAACAAAAAAAACTAAGTGACATCGACCTTCATTAAACTTTTCTAGGCATGTTTCTGCCGCGCACTTGGGTTTTTCTCTTTTTTCTTTTTTGATGTAATTTTTCGGTGGAAACAATTTCATACGTAGTTGATTACATAAGGAGACAAATTTTCATTTAGATACTTCTTTTCTAGCCATAGTTACAGCCAATCAAACATCCCAAAACCGACCGCGGAGAAAAAAATTAGGCTCCGCCCCTTTTACTGTGGTCGCTAACTAAAGCTCACCGATTTTTTGATGAAAATTTTTGAAAAAAAAGGCCGGAAAAATAGAAGGGCCCCTGTAATAGAAGGGCCCTTCGGAGCTATCCTGGCACAATAGAAGGGCCGGCCCTTCTAATTCAGGTTTTACGGTATGTGAATATTTTCGGAATCTGGAATCCGGACACCTCTGGATGAAAAATTCTTTCGACGTGGTCAGCACCTCAAATCGCAAAGATCAAACCGAATTCAAAAATTGCCGGAAGCGTAACATGAACTCTACTACGACAGCAAAAAAACTCAAAGTGAAAGTGCACAACTCCCAACTCCTTCCACCCGTTTTTCTATCTTTTCCTGTCTTGTTCTTCTTCATTTTTACGTATCCGTCGTCCACACATCTCATTTTTCATATTTACAACTACCCATTGATTGTCCGTTTCCTAGTACTTCCACACAAAAGAAATAGATCATCATTTTTCGTGTGACATCTTGACAGAAGAGCATGACATGTTTTACGAGAAACATTGAGACAAATGTGAAGAAAAAAAAACAAATGGGATTTTTGGTTTGTGGGAAAAATAGAGAAAGAAGAAGAAGAAGTGAAAATAAACAAAGCTGAGGTTTCGAGAACTTTTTGGAATTTTGGAAAATTAGATTTTCTCATATATTAGTTGTGCTTCTTTTTCTGGTTTGGTACCTTGTGATCCAATCATGGAATTGGAAACAAAATCTGGCGCGCTTCCTATGCAAAGACATATTGTAAAGTCAGTGAAATTGAGTCTATGATCCCTACTTTTTGACTCACTTCACTCAAAAAAACAAGAATTGAATCTGAAAATTGTTGTTCTCCTTGTGCTGGTCACTCGACACACAGACTTGTTCAGTGATCTAGTGTAAACTATATGAAAATAAATCCGGGGACTCTCTCTCTCTCTCCCTCGGTTCCAATTTTTTAATGGTTTTAAGGGCACTTAGTCTTTTCATTCGAGAACAAAAAGTTTTATACTGGACTTCAGAGAGAGAAGGAGAGAGACACTTACATATCTGAAGGCACGAAAAATGACCGAGAGTCAGGAAGCACTTAACGGACGGACGCCAGAAGGGAGTAGAAGAGATTGATGGTGAAAAGGAACAAAGTTTGGAAGGAAGAAGAAGAATGGGTAATTGGAATAAGGGTTAGAGATTTGTTTTAATGTCGTAATCCCGGTAAAGTATCAGCATTATTACCAAACTTAGTACCGTGAATACTCTAATACAATATACCCTATACTAGAACTTCGCGCTCAATTATCTCGATTTCAGTGAAAGATATCAAAATTTTGTCAACTGATAATTTTTTATCATTATGCCAACAACATTTTATCAGTTGACACATTTTGACACCTCTAATAGTAATTGAGACAATTTAGCTCAAAGGGCAAGTATATGGTGGCCCTAGTTTATAGTTTTTTTTTCCAAATTGAGAATTATGAAAGTCAATTAGAGGAAAAAAATGGGATTCCGCTGTATGAAAAATAGTTTTCTGTGTCTGAAAATGTTTTCAAGTGATCATTTCCAGCACAGAAAGCATCAATTCACTTTGAGAAAACTATTTTCCAGACACCGGAAAAATGGTGGACGGTTTTTGGTAACAATTAAAAATATAGTAGTCTTGTTTTGAACATAAATGGGAAAACATTCAGTTCATACAAACGGAAACATTGAATAAATTGAATGTCCAAAAATCAACCGTACGGTGCACATAACGGGGATGAATAGGGGTAGGCAGAAAGTATGCAAAAACGGAGAGAAAACAGTTTCTCTCTCTCTCTCTCTCACTTTTTCTCTTTTTTATGCTTTACTTATGTAAAAAGGTATATGTATGGAAAGGTTTTTCTACGTCTCTCGGAGGCTTTTTCTATTTCAAACGGAAAAAAATGACGAAGAGAGAGGGAGAGAATACAGGTCACTATGAGAAGAAGTTGGTTCCAAGGTCGATTTTTATCTAGAATATTAATGTTTGTATCTTAACACATACTTAGCTTTTAGAACGGTTTTAAACTCTCTGGACAAAGTTGATAAGAATTTGTGTTTATAGTGAGAAGATTAAAAACTTCAGACATCAGAGTTCTAGAATGACCAGTTCCATTGATGAGAGTAATGTGATTCAAGAAACAAGCTATTACTTTCAAGTTTTAGCTAATTTCATCTCGGTTCCTATGCAATATATCAGAAATGTGTCAACTGAGAAAATACTTCTGATATGATGATAAACAATTTATCAGTTGACAATTTCCAAATATCTTTTACAGGAACCGAGAAAAATAGGCTCAAAGTTAAAAGTTAGAGGGCCCTTCTATTACAGGTTATACGGTAATTATTTTCTTGCCTATTTTTTGGTATTTCGGTTTTTCGATACTTTTCTTTTTTGCGAATTTTCGGATTTTCGTCCAGAAAATAAATACAAAAATTACATGTTCCTTTAAGGATTTCGCTACCGAACCTAAGCTCCGCCCACCCTTATTTTTTTGCCGCAACATGGTTTGAATTTAGACCAGAGTAATAACTGAAAATACAAAACGAAAGGAATTTGTGAAATGTTTCATCCTAATAACAATATTTAGCCTCAAACGAGAGGAGAAGAGGTATGGAAGAGAAAACAAGAAATATCCGGTCGAATCTCGCCAGCAATCACAAAAATGATAAGCCATATATTGCGGGGAGAGAAACGAGGGCTTTGTTTGGTTTGCCTGGGGGTTGAAACATTCGCACACATTTTTGGATTTATGATAATCGAGAAGAAAGAAATCCTCGTGATAGGAAAAGAATTGAAACATTATGAATTCTTGTTATTAAAACTGGAATTTTTTATGGCTAACATCGGGCCAGCGGAGCGGAAGACAAGATTGCATGAAGAGGAGGTATACATAAGAAAAATAATAAGAATTGTTTTATTTTTAGAAGGGGCTTTAACAAAAAAAATGCTTTTTTATGTCCTACAGTAAAACCTGCAATAGAATAGTCCCTTAAATGTTGACTTTGAGCCAGTTTTTCGCGGTTCCTGTTAAACTTGCAAAAAAGTTGTCAACTAAGATAAAGTGTTTTACATATTATCAGAAGTGTTTTTTCAGTTGACACATTATCGATATTTTGCACAGGAATTGAGATGATTGAACTTGAACTTCATAGTGTGGAGGCCCTTCTAATAGAGGTTTCACAATATATCAAGTTTTGAAAGAATTCACGGATCCAGAGTAACTTTTTTTCTAAATTAACAAGAAGCTATTTTCACAATGAATTTGAGTTTATCCCTTGATCATAATGAATTCATGCAAAAATATTCGATCTTATGAAGGTTTAAATGATGGTCATGATACAGTTCAATCAATTTTTGAAAAAGGAAATTTAGAATTAATTGAACTTTTAGAAGATGAAGAAACACAGACAGAAAAACATTTGTGGGGAAAGAACATGTGGAAAACAGCAGTTGATTTGATAATATTCGGAAAGAAATGTGAAGAAAAGAGATTGAGATCAATCCGATATTTTCACAGCGGGAGACGCAGAAACATGAATAGGGATTGTGATAAAAATATGGTTTTATCTGTTCTTCTTCTTCTATTCCTCCTGTTCTTCTTTTTCTTTTTCGTTCTTTCTATCTATTTATCACCTTCTCGGAGAAGGAATGGTAATGAGAAGAGAATCTGTAACCTGCAATTAACAAATGATTGATTGCTAATAATTGAACTCGTTTGTCCCAGTTTTTAGAAATTAATGGAATGGATTGGTCACTGGAACAGGGATGGGCAGCGATAAAATTACTTCATTCGAATTTCCTTGTACTGAAGTGCCCTGAAAAAGAAGTCAATCACTGTTACTGTTGTCACTGTCACTGAAGTTGAGCTTTATCTGAAAACTTGAGAAATTTCAGTAGTTCTGAAAATATCAATGTGATAGAATCACAACCAAATCTTTGTTGTTTTGAGAAAAAGAATCACACCCCTACAGAAAAGATTTGCAAAGCAGAAGCATGGTGCATCCATTATATTATAGTATTATATTTGTTTCCAAGCATCTTCACTGAAGCAAACATAACTGTATCGAACCATACACGTTTTCATCGGGATTTCTTCGGTCTTGAATAACGAAAGAGCTTGAGCAAGTTGAAAAACCCTCTGTTGTGCTGAATAGTGTCATTTTTGTTTCGGTGAAAGATGTAGAAAATTCTTCCACTGACAAAAAGTTGTTGATGTTCCGATGAAGGTTTTGTTCGTTGAAGTTTTTTTTGATATTTTTCTCTGGAATCGAGAAAAAAGGTTGCTCAAAGTTGATGATCAGGGTGCAACTACTCTATACAGTAAATAGTCTATTTGAGATTTTACGGTTTTTAATTTTTTTTTGAAAGGCAGATTTCCTCCCCGCTAACTGTAAGCAGTTTTTTGATTCCCAAACTCCTATCAAAATGTTTCCTTCCCATTCCTTAAGCTCTAGCTGTCGTAAAGACAGCCCCAATTGGGGCCCCAAAACAAATTCAGATAGACGCGGCCGAGTGTCCGGCACTCGGCCATACGATTTGCACGCTCTACTGAACTCCCGCCGCAGGTTTTTGAAAGCGCCTCGTGAACATTTTTCACAGTTTTTTTGCAATTTTAGGTCTTCGCAAGCGATTTTTAATATTTTAGGCTTCCGCCATGGAGCAAGCCGATCAAAATCATCTCAACAAGTTCAAGGAATTCATTCGAAAACAGGATGCTTCTATAAGCTTGCAGGTATTTCTGACAGATGGAGTTCCATGTTAATATGTTTTCAGTTCAAACCTGCCCAAGCATTTTTCGGAAATCATTTGACTGAGCTGGACGCCGATGGTACTGTTGCCATCCGTATCAACCGCAAGGTAAGATTTCACAAAGTCAATGTGGAAAAAAATTATAAACCTTCAGAACAAGTTGTACATGCGTATCAAGTTTGCGGGAGATCCGGTCATTGGTTACAAGACTGCCGATGTCGGACTTTCTTTTGGTCATATCGATCAAATCAAGGTTGGGAAACGAATAAATGATCTCAATAAAAAATTTATGTTCCAGCTAGTGGATGAGGAAAAAGATAGGCCACCCGTAATTATTTTCACTCTTAGTCCAGGTGGTTTTGAACAGCTAGATAATGTTCTGCCCGGATTAAAAGACGCGGCTGAGTCCTCATTGAGAGGATCCAAACCTACATCGAGAATGATGATGTTATCATTGGGATTATTCAATGAAAAAGATGACGATTCACATCTCCAAATCGGTTTCAACGATCAAGGATTGGAGTATTCAAAATGTACCGACTTCGATAATGCCAAAATTATTCTGAAAGATTATGTTAGTTGCTCTATCATTTGATTCTGTTCTATGCTATTTTTGTTTCAGATTTCACCTGTTATGCTGCAGCACTTCAAAGAGAAAGTCGCAAAAAAGAAAGATGTATCCACTGTCGTTCCTATGGTGTTCGTTCAAGAAATCGACAATCAAGAGTTTGATGTCTTTCTGCAACGTCAACGAATTGTCTATCAACAACGCACTTCTCTCTTCTCGAGAATGAGCACTTATCAGAACTGGCATATATCGATTCCTCTGAATAGTGAAGGTGAGCTATGCCCGCAAAGCAATTGAAATATTGATTCAACTCTAGCATACTCGAAAGGTTCTGCCGTGGGAATTGCCGTTCGCAAGCCAAACAAGCAGCATATCGAGGACTTTGAGAAAGTTGGAAAGTTGGTTCGGAAGAGGTAATATTTGCAAGAAACGTTTAAAATATAAAAGTTGAATATTTCAGGAAAATCGATGAAGGCCTCGAGAAGGTAAGAAACATCTAGATTTGTCTTAATACCTAGAGGGGGATCAGACCACGGACACAGTGTTTATTTTTTATTGTTCATGCTAAATTATTTTCGCTTTTATAATTGCTCGTCTTTTTTCACCGTATTCAACCTGTTTACGTTTGAATTCAATTTCTAGAATGCCCACTGGCTGAATCGAGAAGGATGGGTACGTGTTTCTCAACCCGAGAAAGAGAACCATGCTCGACCAGTCGGGGACCACAACGACCAACACATTGATATGAAAGATGCGGTAAGCAGAACGGGTAGTCGGCTTTCATAGTTTTAGGTTACACTCACTAAAATCCGAAATTGATCTTGAACTTTTCTTGTTTACGAGGCTGTCGGGCTCATAAATAATAACTGAGCCGAATTTGTACAGGTCGGATACACGAATGGTGATAACGGAGCACCGCTTTGCTTCCCAGCGATGTTCGATAGAACTATGGGTATCAGTCAGGAACCAGTTCTCCAATACAGCACCAATGGATTCAATCAGAACCCAACGAATACAGTCGACGTGGTCCAAGTGACAGAAAAAATGAGCAGTTTGGGATATAACTTTCCGAATGGTGATACCACGGAATACTATCAGCAAAACTGGGTGTATCCGAATTATGGTAAATTAAGTTGCTACTCGTCGTCAACCGATGTAGAGGTTTCAGCGGCAAACAACAATCTTCTAAATAATCAAGAACAAACCATGGGCATTAATGAAGCGAGGGTTACATCATACGATACTAATGGACGTTTCTACGGTGTCGTAATATCGCAGGTTCGATAAACGTTTCGTAAATACGTGTTACGATTCCTCTAACATCTTTTTTTTATTCTTGAATTGTTTTCAAACATATTTAGCTAGCTAGAACACTGTGGTCCGGGGCTCTTGAATTCTCAAAGTTTCAGTCTATGACATAGTTTTATATTCACTCCGAATTTCAGGGTGACAATGGAGTTCAATCTTCCTCTAGCAGCTCACGGAAATCGAGCTCATCGCCGGTAACTGGACACAAATTGGATTGAAACACAAATATCTTTTTCAGCCAGTTTCAACCCAACTAAAGAAATCAACAATAGATGTGAGAGGAATGGCTGGATATAAGTTATGCGACTATCCTTTGAAACCGATAGATGGTATTGATCCCGTAGAAAGTAAGCAATACATATGTCGAATTACATTTTAAAACCGCTTCTTTCAGTTTCCATCAAAGATGTGAAAACGCTGGATCGTAAAGAGTTTGTCAACGACGCTATCTTAGCATTCATGCAGAATTACATTTACATTCATCGAATGAACGATGATCTGTAAGTTGGCTGGTTTTCAGGCTCCTGGACGTTTCAAAACCCTACGTTTGAGAACTTTTCGGCACTCTTGCATAGTGGTTTCTGCACATCAAGTGAGTATTGCTCATTTCAATGTTTGTTTTTCTGCTTTCTCATTCGTTCTCATCTACCATACTCCAAATAATGATAGGTTCACACTTGGAAACTCAAAAAATCCCAAAAAGGTACAGTGCGTCGCATAACTATAGGACCCCCTCAATTTGGGGTGTACAGCAAAAACTAGAGTAGATAAGAAAAATCTGTGAATGCAGTTGGATTCAGAATTAAAAATAACCCTAGGAACCAAATTTTCAGAACCCTAACATTTTCCATACCCTCACGGCAAGAAAAAGGTCCATTTTCGACCGTCGCATAACTATAGGACCCCCAGATGTTTTGGGTGCACAGGTCGTTTTTTGACCATTTTATCTACTCTAAATTGTTTTATTTACGTTTTCATTGTTTTAAGCTTTTTCTGAAGATGTTTCTCGCAACTTTCTTTCAAAGTAAACATGTCTGAATCCGATTTTCCCTTCAGTCAACAAAATCCATGTATTCTAAGCAACTAACAAAAAACACATCGAAAAATCAGTACTTAGTCTCTCCGCCGTTGTTTTGAATCACTTCAACGATCCTGCTCGACATGCTGGCTACAAGATTCTTCAATTCGGCATCAGTGAGAGCGTCCCATTCAGCCTGGATTGCGTCCTTGAGTGCACGGTCTTGAATTGCCTCCCTTTTCGATAGACCCGGCGAACGAGGATGCCCCAGATGTTCTCAATGGGGTTTAGATCCGGACTGCATGCTGGCCATTCGAGCACCTTGATTCGTTTCGAGACGAACCAGTTCCTCGTGGAGGTGCTCGTGTGGATAGATGCGTTGTCCTGTTGGAACGTGTGGGTGTGGCGTCTGTTGCGGAAGAACGGAGCCACGGCCTTTTGGAGAGTCGCTTGGTACGTGGCAGAATTCTCCTTCGTGGTGATGAATTGCAGTTCAAGCTTTTTTCCATTGCAAAAAGCGCCCCAAATCATAACAGAGCTGCGTTCTTGACGTGAAGTTAGCTTTCTCGGTCTTCCAGCAGACTCCTTCAGCTTCTTCTCGTAATGGAGTGGGTCGGCGAGGTATTTTCGGATGACGTTACGACTTCTCGTGAGTTGACGGGACATCTCGTGAAGTGTCAGTCCAAGTTGTTTCATCACATCCACTTTGGCCTGTTCGGCAAGAGAGAGTAGTGTAGCGCGAGCCATGGTTGAAGGAATGTTTCCGAGGCATATTTTTGGGATAGGGACCAACTAATATTTTCAGTTACTGTACCTGCAAACTATCGCCACGATCCGAATTACTGTAAAAAAATGCAGCTGGAGATTTACGGAAGGGCCAGAAGTGAAGCTTGATTATTTTCTCGAAAATGAGTTCCTTGCATTGTTGGATGTTCCACACGAAGATGTTGAAAGAAAGTTGCGAGAAACATCTTCAGAAAAAGCTTAAAACAATGAAAACGTAAATAAAACAATTTAGAGTAGATAAAATGGTCAAAAAACGACCTGTGCACCCAAAACATCTGGGGGTCCTATAGTTATGCGACGGTCGAAAATGGACCTTTTTCTTGCCGTGAGGGTATGGAAAATAGTAGGGTTCTGAAAATTTGGTTCCTCGGGTTATTTTTAATTCTGAATCCAACTGCATTCACAGATTTTTCTTATCTACTCTAGTTTTTGCTGTACACCCCAAATTGAGGGGGGTCCTATAGTTATGCGACGCACTGTATATTTCAAAAGAAATTTGTTTCGATTTTTGAGAGTTTTCAAGTGTGATCCTATCATTATTTGGAGTACGGTAGATGAAAACAAATGAAAAAAGCAGAAAAACAACAAATTGAAATAAGACATACTCATTTGATATGCGAAAACCATTATGCAAAAATGCAGAAAAGTTCTGAAACGTCCAAGAGCCTTTTTTAGAGAATACAAACAATTTAGATTTCAGTAAAAAAAGGACTGTGATGTGTAATACTTTCTTCTATCCACGATTGGTTCGCGACTTGCCACAGCTGTGTTACTCGCAGCGTAGGCCCATCAATCTTGAGAATGATGCGCAATTGGAGGAAAATCTTCTCAAACTCCACCGTTGGTTCAAAAGATACGACCTCTTCGGTAAAGACTACATGGTCATCCCAGTTAACGAAGATCTTCACTGGTTGCTCATCGCCGTTATCAACCCAGCAGGTGCTATCATCGATTTGGCTAACGAGAATGAGTCTCGAAATGCGCCGAAGACGTACATGCTGTTCATGGACCCGATGAGTGGTCTTGACCCAACTAAATGCAATCATATGTCTTACTGTGTTAAAAGATTGTTGAAACGAATGTATGATCTATACAAAGCTCCCGAAAAGAAGTATGCGTCGGCAAATCCTACAATGTACGATGAGAGCAGAGTGATTGTGGTTCGACCGAAAAATATACCCATCCAAGACAACTTTTTCGATTGTGGAATGTATGTGCTACATTACATTGAAGGACTCTTCTGTTCACCGACTGGCCCTATAACCGTGAATGTGAGAACACCGTATATCTGCCTTATTATGATATATCTGTTTTACAGCAAATTCCGACTCTTGACTGGGCTGAACATTGGCCAGAGGCTGAGAAAATGTGTGATTTGATGCGAGACAAGGTTTACAATTTGCTCAACAAAACGATTGGTTCGGATAATCGGAGTCGTCTTGCTCAGTACGAACAGATATGCAGATGTGGATTGTCTCGAGAAGGGGCGCTCAGAAATGGCCGCCGCCACAGTGCTCCTCACCCTCGTCGCACACCACGTCATCTGGATTTCTATCGTCGTTGCTATTCATTGAATCCACCAAACAAAAATATCATCAATGATGAGCCGATGTTCACTACCCCGCGTGGGATAGCTATAATGCCTTTGACACAGCGAGTTCGTAGTTTAAGAAAACCCGAAGAAGGATTCCCATTAGCATATTAGGAAGCAAAGTGCTCAAATTATTAATTTCCGATCCTGAACTAAATTAGACATCTTTTTTGAGTTAGCTTTATGTGTAAGAGTCAACACTCCTTATATAATAACTATTGTTTGATCATCTGCCTCTTGATCTTTTCACAATTACTATTATGCTTACTTCCCCGGCATTCTCCAGCAGATCTCAAACTCGTTCTCTCTTCGTTTTTAATTTTATTTTTCAATTCCATTCTTTTCTTTTACCTTGAACATTTTTAGCACACATCACCCATAAAGCGGCTACCTTCAAAAGTTCCAATATTCTTATCTTTGAATACATGCATTGGACTTTCTTGAATAAACTTGTGCTAATTGAAAACCAGCTCGGAGACCTCTTTTTTTGTTAATGGCTCACAAATAAATATATTTTTTACCACTTTCTTTATAAATTACTTTTTTAAAAGACAATTTTTGTTTCAATTTCCTGAAAACGGTTGATTTCCGTCGAAATTTTTTTTGCAACCCTGGCACGGAGTTTTAGCCACGCCCACTTTACCCTGCCGCACTTGCAGAATTGTAAGCAAAAGGGTTCATTCAAATTCTATTCTTTTGACTGTTGTTTTTCTTTTGAAATTTCTTCTTACAGGATTTCTTCTTCGCCGTGAGCACAACAAATAACTGTCAAAAATGTCGATTATGAGCTATACTGGTGGAACTGTGGTCGCAATGGCCGGCGATGAGTAAGTGAAATTTGAACATTTCGAAGATTATACATCAAAAGAGGTTGTTCAAACATCCTATGTAAGAAAAGCAGTTTCGGTTAATGTTTTTCATGTTTAAAAAGCAAATTCTGAGTGAATAATTGCTTACGGTGGCTACATTAAAATAAAATGTTAAAATAATCGACTTTCAGAAAATTAAAGATATATTTTTCAGATGTGTCTGCATTGCTTCTGATCTTCGCATCGGAGAGCAAATGACAACGATTGCAACGGACCAGAAAAAAGTGCACAAAGTGACAGACAAAGTATACGTCGGACTTGCTGGATTCCAATCTGACGCTCGTACCGTTCTGGAGAAAATCATGTTCCGCAAAAATCTCTACGAGCTCCGTGAGAACCGCCGCATCAAGCCACAAGTTCTCTCCGAAATGATCTCCAATCTGGCTTATCAACATCGTTTTGGAAGCTACTTCACCGAGCCACTCGTTGCCGGACTCGACGACACTAATAAACCATATATCTGCTGCATGGACACGATCGGCTGTGTCTCAGCTCCACGAGACTTCGTGGCTGTTGGAACAGGACAGGAGTATTTGCTTGGAGTTTGCGAGAGTAAGTTTTTCTGATGCATTTTTCCGTATTTAAAAAAATAGACTTTGCCGACATAGAAAAGAAAAGAAGTCAAAAGAATCAAAATTCAGCAAATTATCCAGCACATGAAATCATTTTTCAGATTTCTGGCGCGAGAACATGAAGCCAGATGAGCTCTTCGAGGCCACAGCTCAGTCGATTCTTTCCTGCTTGGAACGCGACGCAGCTTCCGGATGGGGAGCAGTTGTCTACACAATTACTAAGGATAAAGTGAACATCTCAACCATCAAAGCTCGCATGGATTAATTTTTTCTTGAAACAAGTATATTCTTCTTCATCTAATTTATTGTTTTTCTGAATACCCCGTTCTTCAATTTTCGAACCTAACCGTCCGGTTACAATGTTTTATATTCGGCTCTGTCTGATCTAATTCGTCCCGATTGATAATACATTTTTCATAAAAACAAGAAACACAAAATTTTAGTTTCAGAAACGAATGTTTAAAATATGATTTATGATAAAAATCTGACAGATAATACTAAAATAACCTAACATGTCGGGAAAGAAATTAGGATTCTAAAAAAATTTCACGACAACATCATGCTTATAAACACCTGGATTAAGCAGAGTCAGCGCCTGATGAAGCATAACTGCTGACAATCCCCATACTCGTTGACTTGGATGTAGGTATTCCTTGGCGTCATTATGGTGAATCTGAAACAATTATTACAAATTCGAAAACTTTTATAATCACCTTGAATTCCTCTGAATCAAAAACTGGCAGAGTGTATTTCAGTTTACTGCTGGCAAATTTAGTGATCCCTGCTTTCTTTGCCAACTCATCGATGGGTATCGAGAAAACTGATTGAACTTCGTCAGAATTCACAATTAACGAATTGAGCACTCTCTCATCTCGTACGTATCCAACTATCGGTGTGACAACAAAATCAGCTTGTCTCCGGACAACACTTTTCAGATGACCCCATATTTCGACATCTTTCGATTCTAACCCAATTTCTTCGAACGTTTCTCTCAAAGCTGTTTCAGTTGTGGTTTCTCCTGATTCTTTTCTTCCGCCTGGAAAACATACTTCACCACGATGCGATCGAAGATGAATCGATCGTTTCGTCAAGAGAACAGAATCACGACCGTCGACAGTAACAAGGGGAATTAGCACCGACATTGCCGATTTTTCGTCAGAATCAGAGACTAAGCGAGGATGTTTTGAGGGAGGAGCTGCAGCGAGATTCTGAAAAATAGACGATGTCACTACTGATATTTCCAGATTAGCTACCTCCAAAAACCGTTCTTTTGCATATGTACCAAATTGTTTCCTGCTCCATGCCACATTTTTTATATTCAATTGTCCACATAACGCATACTTCATCGATCTCTCTAATGAAAATTTAACGAGTTTAGCACATGTCTTGGAATAAAGAAATTCACTGGTCAAAACCTTCCCACCATGTGATAGTACTTATTAGAATATTTAGTGAACAAATTCTTTATGATATAAAATTCATTTTAGAACACATCTGAAAGGAAGTAGAACAGGCATTGAAATGATATAGGGAGTGCGTCTATATGAAGATGTGGTTCTAGAAATGGAAAGGGAGAAATTGATATGGATGAGTTTGTATACATTTCGAATACAAAAAAAGTAAATTTCAGAGGAAGAAGAAAGGTGAAGACAGGGTTTGCACAATGTACAGATAAATCTCAGCGGCGAGAAGGAGAGGCCGAGTCACAAAATTCATCAAATAAAGTGAATAAATTAAGAGAACTAAAATTAACCATAATACCGGTGATCTGGAAGCAAAAGTCTGTTATCACAACTTGAATTCATATCTGCATTTTTGTCGAAGAAATCAGCCTGAAATGAGGATACTGTGGGGAACCTGGGGATATGAAAAAGGCAATGAAGAGAGATGGTTTCTTTGGTTTCTGTATTTTTTACCCGCCTTCAAAACAGAATGTTTCAAAACAAAGGAAAAGAAAATGACAGAAACATTATTCACATAGAGTACGGTGGATGGGTGGTTAATGTGAAAATACAGGAAAAAGGGAAACGTAGGAAAATGTATCAGAAATGGAAAAATGTATTAGGCTTTCGGAGGTGCATTTACCTCGCAGAACGTGTTTATGAAAAACCAAACCATGAAGATGATGAGCATGCTGCTGATGCCGAATCTGCAAAAATAAACCAAAAAATGAAACATCTAGGTTAGATTCTGTGGGGGACAATGCAGTAGTTGATTACACAACGTGGACAAGGGGGTAAACTAGAAGACCATGCAAGTTCGACTCACATCTTCATTACCGTCGGCTCGATTGGGCAAACGGCGGAAGAGTGTGATCTAAATTGAGTGCATTGGTGTGCTCTCGAATTTAAGATTACGGTGTACATGCATATGTGTTAATTGAGGGTAAGTACTAGCTCAAAACCACATAAAAAACAAAAGACGTGCACTTTTACCTTATATGTAACACAGAGAGAGAGTGACTCATGAAAACCTGAAACCGAATGTAAAATTCTTAGAGAAAAGAAGACGTTTTATAATTTCAAAGACATCCAATTTTCAAAAGAAAATCTTACCTCCATGGAAGAGCCCTCGTCATTTTTTGCGTGTCTAACAGAGTCTGTGGATGATCGGATCCAGCTTGAGCTCTCATAATCATCATGCTGTCAGATGAACGATCCAATATCTGTAAACCAAACTGAATACAGTTTTGTGGAAAACACAAACCTGCTGATGAGCAGCACTAGTGATCAGCCGATTCTCCTGCTCTAGACTTTGTGTCGTTGTGTTTAAAGCGGTTTCCAAAGCCTCGTTCTTCTGGCGAAGTAACTCATTTTCCGTTTTCAATTCCTTGAAGTCCTGAACGGAAGTTTTGTTATCTTCTCCCACCGGACGATTCCTGCTTTCCTAGAAAAAATAAACTAATTGAAACTTGTACCGTGGTTGTTTCTAACTAACCAGCTCGTCAATTACAGCTTTGGCTTTCTGTAATGCAGTTTCGTTGGCTTCTTTTTCAACATTCCTCTTTCGGAGAAGTTCCTCTACTCCTGCCAATTTCGCTTCCGTTCTCATCTCAGTTTCTCTCATTCGTTCTACTTCGACATTTGCTTTCTCCAACTGCACTTTCAGCTCGACAACATCCCCACTCGCATGCTGTTGATTTTTCGTCAGTTTTTCTTGCAAATCAGCTACTTGGCGCTCAAGTTCCTCCATTTGTTTAGTAATTACAAGTTTCTCTTCTTCTAGAACGCCGTTTTGACTTTTCATTTTGATAATCTCGCCCTTGAGTGGTTCAAGTGATTCTAGCTCCTGAATTCGTTCCGTCAGTCGTTTGTTTTCAATTTCCAGAGGCAACTTGGTTTTGTCGCTGAAAGGTCTAGGGGATGTAAGAGTGAGATTGCTGCCGGTATAGTAACTTACTCGAAGGATAAGTGTCCAGCCTCAAACATCGACTCGTGAAGAGATCGTGGCGTAACAGACTCTTCTGAAAAAGGACACTTAAAATGAGAATCTATCGACTAGTCACTCACTGAATAACAGCTTGTTTTCAAGTTCGTTTCTTTCGGCAATGAGATCTTCTTTTCTATCTTCTAGTTCTTTCACCTTCTCCTTATATTGAATCAATTGAAGTTCGAGTTGTTCCACGATCCTCTTTTTGGATTCTAATCCCACATTTAGCTCGACGTTGTTCGCTGTCAATGTGCCGATTTGAGATCGCAACTGTACTATTCCTGCTTTGTTATCTTCGTCAATGGTGGCAGTCTTCACATGATGTTCAAGTCGCGATGTGAGTGATTTAACTTGTCCTTGAAGTTCTTTAACCTCTTTTTCTCGTTTTTTCAGCATCTCAGCATCCGACTGATATTTGTTGGCAATTGTTCTCCATTCTTCTACATCCGACTGAGCAGTATCCAAATGAGTTTTGAGCATGTTCAATTCTTTTTGTCCAGACTGAAGTGTGTCATTCTCATCGGTCAGTTTAACAACAATTGCTTGGAAATGCTCCATTGATGCTTCCAGTTCCAGGACTCTTTCCTCAGCTTGTCGTCGTTTCACTCGAAGCTCTTCGTTTTGCTTCTCAAGTATACTGAGCTCATTAGGTTCCGAGCATGTAGAAGTGTCGAGTTGGGATGATTCTAAAGCTTTTGTCAGACGCTCCACGTCTTTTATCAGATTGTCTCTTTCAGAACGCAATTCGTCTATTTCCAGCTGTGCTTCAACAAGTACTTGGTCATTCGCCGACAATGTACTCCGACGTTCTGCTGATCCGTTTCCATTTGTGATCACTGATGATTCGACATGTGAGCTATTCAGTTCGTTTTGAGATCCATCGAGTTCTGATATCTCATGAAACGTTGGAACTTCAGGAAGTTCTTCCATTACGATTTGAACCAACCGCGCAACATTCGCCATCATGTGTTGGTGCTCTCCAGCAGGAAGCTCTTGAGAATATTGGATATATTTTTCTTGTGTTTTTCCTATAAAAGCAAGAGACACAACAGCCATAGCAAGATCAGCTGCAACCGGAATGTCCGTCTCATCTAAACCATCAAGGCGATCTCCGATTTCTGTCCAGCGAGTACTAACGACTTTTCGGTTGAGCACTTGGATGTAGTCCGACATTTTGCGCCATAGTTTACGAAGGTTGCTACGTTTCACAACAAGGTTTGATGATGTTCGCATTTCCGGCATCGTTTCCAGCCATCTTTCGTCGAAAAAGCTTCTGTCACTAGAAATAAATCGGAGTCAATCAGTTCTCATTTTAAACTGAAGTATCTTACATTTCATGAAGGATCTCCGCGAATGCTCGTCCATTACAAAGACTAGTGTGGTCATCCAATGGCAGCGTTGTCGCTTTCAGACCACTCATCTGTAGTTTTATTAATTGAAAACATTAATATCAACTTCCTGTCACATACCCAAAAGACCAAATCTGCCAAATCTTTTCGCCGTTCATCCAGATCTTCATCATCAAGCCTCCGGCTAGTGCCAATACCTCGACCATCTGTAGAATCAGCGTATTTACTGTTGCCGTTCTCTGACGAGTCTGACTCCTGGTTTGTCAGATCCAACATATTTAAATCTGAAATTTGAACTAATTATTAATAGGGAAGAATTGAGAAAAGGGAGGGAGAATTTGTTAGCTAAATGAATATTTAAGAATCAGGTTTTTTAAGTTTCAAAACACTTTTGGCGGGAAGAGGTAGGTCACGATCTACGAAATGGCGCCAATTATTGTATTTTGATGTCATTCGAAAAAAAAAGTTGTCTGCGCACAACAAATTCCTTGCGACCGTACTGTCGATTAGTTGTTTTCATTGTGATAATCGGCACAGTGAGCGCAATCAACGAAAAGGAATACACTCTTGACGACGAATGCGGACAACATTCGACGAATCTCGAGTTGGCTCAAGTGAGATCCGCGCAGGAACCAGCGGATTATGTGGGAAGTATATGTCATACTGAAGAAAAAAACGCGTTTGTTGAAATTCAGATACACCCGTGGTACAACATAGGATTCCCCAGCTCCTACGATTTTGCTATTATGAGGTATGAGGGACTGCAAGGGTTCTCACTGGTTGGGGATCTACACTTGGGGGCAGCTCTGCATCTGCACCAACATTGCGAGAGATTCATGTTCCCCTCTTATCCACTCTCTTCTGCAGCAGTCTTCCGAACTACATAAGACACATACATTTGCCGTCAATGTTATGTGCTGGATACAGTTATGGGAAAATCGATTCTTGTCAGGTACTACTGATTTTAAGTATAAGGAGAATTAGAAACTCACCGAGTAGCTGGGCTCCTATTTTCAGCCCCTAGAGATCGCACTTGTCAGCTAGTACATGGTTCTAATGGACAGTGGGAGCTATAACTATTTTATATCACTCAGCTGCAAACGTCACCGGTCACGTGAAATTTTAATTTTCAGGGCGACAGCGGCGGACCGTTAATGTGTGCTCGTGATGGTCACTGGGAGCTCACAGGCGTCGTTAGTTGGGGAATCGGACGTGCTCGACCCGGAATGCCAGGAGTTTATGGAAACGTGCATGCGGCATCTACTATCAATTTGGAAATGAGCAGACTTCGAATCTAATTTAGTTGTCGAAAATTTATATTGTTGGTCGTCATTTGTACATATTATTATACTCATTTATTTTAGTCGTTTTTGTACTCACTTTTGATTTTATGTGAATGAAACTTTGCATTTAAATACGTAGAAATATATTAAAATACACATGGCTCGGGTATATCAAAACCGGTGGTAGCGCATCGCAAGAGGGTATTTACAGAAGTAAAATGTTCATTGAATCATCAAGCTGAATAACTATGATAAGAAACAACCGGAGGTTTTACAGACTCAAATAAACATAATAAATATTATATATTTGAAAAATGGCGATGAGAGGCATTATTAAATCTTTCTTTTAGTAGCGGTGAATCGTTCTTGATAAGCATCATATCCGGGCAAGTCTTGGAAATCTTTCAACTGGAAACGGTTCCCATCATAAGTGATAACGGACACAGTAGAAGATTCGAGAAGATCACGAGCAAACTCAGTTTTTTCTAGACAGTTTCCATCCACTCGGAGAGTGCGAAGTCGATGAGATTTTGAGAGGTTCGATGAATTCAAAGTTTTTAGACGATTCTGGCTGAGACTGAGTTCAATGACTTGCAATTTTGATACCTGAAATAGGTTTTCTGCTTTTTATTATGCCATTATTAACAACTTACGTCATCAGGAAGTGTTTCAATTTGATTTTCATTCAAGTTTAGTATATCAAGTTGCAAACAGGCAATAATAGAAATAGGAAACTCCGAAAAAGAGTTAGAGGAGACATCAATCGTTCGCAAGTCCGTACATCCAGCTATCGTATCTGGTAGGTTCTTGATTTTGTTACCTCCAAGGTTCAAAATTTCTAGTTTTTTCATTGAACCAATTTCATCTGGTAAACTTTCTAGGCAGTTATTGGATAAATGAAGTTGTTTTAATTGTGAGAACAGTCCGATGAAAACCGGTATCTCGCGGATTTTGTTCTCGCTCAACTCCAAGTTCCGCAATACTCCTGCTAACTGCTCTACTTCATCAGGAATTTTCTTCAGTCCAGTTCCCTTCAGTTGTAGAACTCGACTTTTGCTTGCCATCTCAAGGTGTTTATTAACAGTTGATGTGGAAGGACCCGACTGACCTGAAAAGAATAGTAATTAAGTAATATAAATAAAGGATTGATTACCAATGAGTTTGCGGGCATTGCTGGTGACGGACTTTGATTTCGAGGAGTCATTGCCCATTTCCTGTAAGCAATATGATTAGTGTAAATGGTTATACAACCGAAAAATCGAACGAATTGAAAACCAGCTCTTGACCATCTGTCGTCCGATGTTATGTTTCTGGTGTAAACACGGAGTATGAAATGCACAGAAAATGCGAGTCTTGGAACTCCGCGGAAAGGACAACGAGAAGATTGCAAGCTAACAAGACACTGTTTAATATGAATTCAAGTCTATCCGTAAATTTTTCCGTTGCGACAAAGTTAAACTCCGCCCACTGCCCCAAATTATTTTAGCGTCCCGCTGTTCAGCGGGGATTCTGCGTTTTGCTAAATAAGTGTTTTCTTTGTAATTCATAGAATAAGCATGACTGAAAGTCATCAAGAACTTGCTAACTTCTAGGCTGGAAAAAAAACTGAGGCTAACTTTCGGACATACCTGCAAATCAGCCGTATGTTTTGGAGCCACATTTCCATCGAACGAAATTCGAATTTCTCGTGGAGCGTTAGCAACGAATTGCTCGATTTCATCGTGATTCAGTTGGTTATCGTCAACGTTCACAGCGCGCAATCGTTCACAGCGCAGCAAATTAACGGTGTTGAGTGAGAGAAGCCGGTTTTTGTTGAGGATCAAGCTGATTGCCCGCAGTGAATGAATCTAAATTATTGAATAGAATTTAAATACGATTGTAAAAAAGACTTACTTCGTCAGGAAAACTTTCAATTCGGTTGTCTGTGAATATGCATGTTTCGAGACTAGGAGAATGACAAACACCCAATGGGAAAGCAGTGAAATGATTTTCACTTGCTTCCACAGTTTTCAATAGAACACACTTTGAAAGATCGGGAAGATCTGTGAGTTTGTTTTGTGAAACTTTCAGCACTTCTAGACAGGGTAGCAAACCAATTTCAGTAGGAAGAGCTTCTGCAAGAGGTATTCAAAGTTAAAATCTAATTGAATTTCAAATTCACACCAAGTTGATTCCGGGCCAAATTCAATTCTTTGAGTTGTGACATTGATCCGATAAAAGGTGGTATCTGAGTGAGATAATTTATGCTCACATCCAGATGCTTGAGCATGGTCAGTGCACTGAGATTATCAGGAACTCGATGGAGAGCAGATTCCTTCAAGTTCAGAACCCGTGTTTTCGGTGCATTTGTGAGGCGTGCACGCACAGTTGGATTATATGAATCAACACCCATCTGAAAACTTGAATAATTTCTGACTTTTTTTAGGACACAATTTTGATGAGCTAAATATTTATTCGAAGAAAAAACGTGGGAAAATGATGATTCAAAAAAAGTCGCAACGACACTCCGAAATTACGATGCGAGCGTGGTTTAGCGCATTGTTCCTTTCTGCAATTTTAACATTTTTCTCTTCTTTTTCCATTTTCATAGAACACCGGTTTGGTTCTCAGCATATTTTTATTATTTTTCAGATGCCGGAAGAGTCGGAAACTACGCAAGATGCGGTGGACGTTCTTGAGAAAGAAGTAAGTAGAAGCATGAAGAACCGGGGTAATTTGAAAATATTGTTATAGATGATGGCATTCTGCAACTTGGTTCCTGTGAATATTTGGGGATTTGATGACGATGTCAAAGAATCGTTGAAGATGCGAAAGCACAGTCTGGTGAACCGTCAGTTGAGCAAAAGTAAGCCTTTCTCTAATAGTGAAAGCCAAGCTGGTTGCGGGTCGGGTCGGTGGAAAAGTTTGACTCGACCCGACCCGTATCTGCTTGATTTTTCTGCCAGAAGTCTAAGGTTTCTAGTAAATTTACTTAAAATGTAATAAATTTCTGGAATTGTTTTTCTTCAATCTATTTTCGAACAAAAACTTTAAGATATTCGAAAAATAATCATGTTATTTTCATTGTCCATATCGTTTACAGAAGAAAGAAAGACAATGTCTGCACAACAAAAACAACAGTTAGCGAAAGGTCTCGGTTTAACCCTAAATACCGTGAAAGAAGTTTTGGAATGGATGTCGAACAGCAAGAAGCATGCTAAGGTTGAACCACAGAAAATGATTGTTCCTATAAAAAGACCGGCTGATCAAAATGAAAAGAAGGAAACTTCAAAGAAGGTCCCGAAACCCGAGAAGAAGAAAAATGCGGATTCAAGCGAGGAAGAATCTTCAGATGAGGAGGAAAGCGACGACGATGAGAACGATGACTCAGACAATGACGTTCAGGAGCCATCTGCCAAAAAACAAAGAAAGGAAGAGTCCTCCGACGATGAAGAAGAAGATGAGAAACCTGAAATGGAAAACGGTGTCACAGCTGTTCAAGAAGACAACGACTCGACCGATGAGGAGGAAGAAGAAGTGCCATCAAAGAAAGCTAAGCTTATACCATCATCTACACTGAAGTCGAACGATAAAATTGAAAAGGAAATAAGGAAGTTAGAAGAAGACGAGGATAATGAATCTCCAGAAGTCAAGCGCCAAATTGCATTGCTTCGACTTCAGAAAAAACTCAAAGAAATGAAAGTTGAGCGAAAAGGCAAAGGGCCTGCCAAAGTAACACCTGCCATGGCAGCGAAACTTGCTGAGGAGAAACGTCTGAAAAGAAGAGAAAGTAAGCTGAAATTGAAACAGAGACGTGCCGAGGAGAAGAAGGGAAAAGACGGAGCAAAAATGTAAGACCTCTTTTTTTTTCTAAATTAGTGTTATCTTCTCGTTTTTAGAAAAACCGAAACTGTTGAGAATGCTGAAAATGAAGAAGTCAGTGAGAAGAAAGCATCTGGAATCTCCTTCAATAACCTGAAGTTTGAAATCAAAGAGGACAAACAAAGAGGAAAGAAAATAAGAGTAAGTGACATGCTTCATTGAAAAAATAAAGTACAAATGTATTACAGACTGCGAAAAAAGATCGTGCTCTGAAGTTGACAGGAAGAGACTACAAATCGCTGATCGCGAAGGTTGAAGAGACGAAAGCAACTATTGCCAAAGTCCGTGAAGCTGATCCACATAAAGCAACTATCATGGAGGATGAGCTCAAGTGGGAGAAAACCCTGAAAAGAGCTGCTGGCGGAAAAGTGAAGGACAACCTGGAAATGTTGAAAAAGGCCCTGGCAAAGAAGAACAAGCTGAAAGAGAGGAAGAAGCAAAAGTGGGATAACAGAGAGAAGAAGGTGGATGATGAAAAACAAACGGTGAGTTTTTTTGCTGATTGATGTAATTTTAAAAAAGTTTGAAACAAAATTGAAATCCTAGTTTATTGTAAGTCAAAGAGAGTTAAAAGACGGCTGATGGGTTGATTAGTTTCCTTGCTCCCATATAGCCAGAGTTGTATCCACCAGCGCCCCTATGAGCCGACTTGTCCGCCATTGTGTTGATGCGTTCTGGGAGCGGGTTCTTTCACAGAATAATAGATTATCCCGCATTCTCTCCAGTTTATATGCGATTAGCGTGGGATTTGAGCCAGTTGTGAAAATTTGTCCCGCACTCAATTTACGCTCTAAATACATTACTTTTCCAATTTACAGAAGCAAGACAAGAGAAAGAAGAACCTCCAAAAGCGTATCGACGATGTAAAGAAGAGAAAGATGAACAAGTTGAGAAACAAAGGAAGAATTCTCTAAATTTATCTATCCCTCTCGTTTTTTGTTGTTGGACTCTATCGTTAAATTTATTTGTTGTTCTTTTTTTATATCTGTTGTTTTGGTTATAAATTTTTTCTGGAATCCTTGGTCAAATATTTTCAAATCTCTCCGTACCATCGGCCGACTATCTTTAGATTATGTCCAGATTCTGGTTATCCAATTTCTTATTCAGAAAGAAAATGACAGAATCAGACGAGCGAAGTTTAAGGGACTTGCTTCTCGAATCAGCAGATGACTTGGAAAATGTTCTCAAAATGGTGAAAAAATGTGAAAAGGATATTGCGAGGACAGTAAATTTACAGATCATTGATACACTGATCAATAGAGAAAAAAGTGTTATGCTGAAAAGTGGGGAATCCGTTACCAACATAGTTCGACTATTTGATGCCAAACAGGAAAGTGTGAGGAAACTTCTGCAAAAAGTGCCCGAATTCCAAGAACGAGAAAGTTTGATTCGAACGTTGAAAGCTCATGTTGAGAAACGAGATGAAGTGATCCAACAGGTTGAAAATAACCTGAAAGCTTGCGAAGTCGCGTTGACGAGATCCTGTTTCCATGTAAGAATCTTTCCGGCTATCGCCTTCGTAATTCCCTTTTTTGTAGGCCAACCAGAAAGTGAAAAAAATGAACGAAGCTGCGTTGCGTCCTGTGAATAGTGAAACTCTTATCAAGTTATCACATCAAATTAGTAAGCACAATTCTGTCTCGGCACCACTCACATGGCAAATCGGAGATCCGTCCCGCCCGTTCCCACAAGAGCATGAATTCAGAACTGGTCAGCTGCTCAATCCGAAGATTCAAAGTTCTGGCCCACAGATTTTACTAGGCAAATCCAGTGCTCAAAAACCAATAATTGCGGTATGCCTTCATTTTTTTTTCATTCACTGCGATATTTGAGTATGTGATGCCACTCATCGTAGCTGACGTCTCGAGACGATACATCATTTTTTGATTCAGTTCAAAATGTGATCTCACAAACATATGATTCATGTGAACTGTCCTGCATTCATAAAATTCCTTCCAGTCACCTTCTGCATCATCTTCCAATGGCGGAACTGCTCCTACCAGAACAGTTGGTACTCCACTCGTCAATTCTGCTACGAATGGTGATTACAGTCCTCGAACAGGCTATGGAGCAGAAGAAACGTCACCAATTCAAGAGCAAGTGTTACTGGGCGTGACTCCAAACGAAAAACAGTGGCAGAATCCACCTATGCCAGGAGCCGCAACATCTTCGCAATCGCCGTTGAGTGGCGCGCCACAGGTGAGTATACGCGCGCGCTTGTATAGGGAAAGGAGGCACCCGTGCAAGTGATGCACGAATAGCGCAGTGGCTGCGCGCTTGCTTGTCGTTCCTCCCCTCACAAGTTCGATCTCTCCGCACGCTGAAAGTCGAGTGAGCCTGCTCCAAAGGCTCTTTCGTTGATTATGTGTGCCAGAACAACGCCATAGGTATCATTCTTCGTCTTCTTAGGCGCGGAACATCTAAATATGGCTACAGTTTTCTGTTTTTTTTTCAACTGTAAAGAAACATAAAATAATATTTCAGAGTCCTTCCTCTCCAAGTGTCAAGCTAAAAATCAGCGGAATTCCAAATCGACCAGGAGACATAGATCAAGTTCAAGAAGTTCGAGATGTCGAACAAATGTCTTCAGATAGTTCCAATTCATCGGATAGTTCTGATGACGAAGGGTCATCTAAAAAGACTAGAGGGCGTAACAAATAAATGATCTCTGATTAATTTGAATATATGGTTGTTAAATAAATGATTATTTATGCACATAATATCTTCTGTCTTTCGTGGCGCACTGTCTACATGTGATTCAGTAACAACGTCATGTTTACCGGAAAATATTTTTCTTTCTTTTTTCCTTGTCATCTGTTGAGACATTAATGTTTAGTTAATAGTAGCATAACCGGCGCATTCTAAATATTCATTGTACGTATTCAAGAATTTAGTTCAATATTAGCTTCTAAAAATCTGCAATTGTGAGTTCATTGAATAGAGACGCAGAATACGGGGGACCACCCGTGATGTGAGAGAAGAAGAGTACGTGAAAAGATGCACAAAACATGAAAAGATTCTCAAAGTCTCTTTCTTGTTTTTGTTATTTCTTGACAACTGCTAACATATTTTTAAATAACACTGAAAAACGTTTTTCATTCACTATCAACCCAAAAAATTGTACTCGTAAAATGTTCTTTTAGTTCATATTTATTGTCGTTTCGATACTAACGTCTAGTAACAGATAAGAGACATTATCTTCGTCATCAGAAACACACACAATCGCTCACATCTTGTTCCGACTTGCCACACAGTGAAACAAGAAGAGATTCTTATTGGGAGATGATGGCCTGACCAGATTGTCCGTTCTTTGTTTCTGTCCTAAATAGCGTTTAAAAATACTTCAATTGTTTTCTGAATTCTTTCAAACATTTTTTTCTTCATTCTCTTTTTAATCATTTAAAATATGGTAACCTAGTCAGATGACATGGAACGGGCAGAGTCCATAAAGAAAGCTGTGGATCAGCATCTGCCGTCAAAAGATGGATTTGAAACTCATATGTTCAGAGTAAGCGCAGTTTGTTTTAAGAGAAGAAATTCAATCTAAACTTTCAGATTGGCTCATACAACCGTTCTGTGGGAGATCCTTTCTCTCTTCCATATGATGATTCTACAATGGCTTTATTGATCTTGAGTACTCCAGATATGTTTGATGTTGCATTTCGCAAATGGGTCGTTCAGAAAACGATGGAGGTAACTTATGAAATTGTGAACTAGAAAAATGTTTAAAAAACATTTTTTCAGTTTGGATCATTTGATTGACATGAGCGAGTTCGTTTCTTCTCCAATCCAAAGCTTCCTGGAAGATCGCTTAGAGGATCTTAGCGAAAAACTCCAATCAGTCGAAGAAAACTTTGAAATTCTACACGACTACTCATGACGCCCCAACGTCGTCCGAAAATTCTGATGCAAACTTGTGGACACGTAGCAGGAGCTGCTTTCTATTATCAACCATGCCATTTTCAAGAAGATGGGCTGGCATGGCCTTCATCAGGTCGCATGGGTCCGAATCTAGTAAGTTCTGAAGTAATACAAAAGAAAAAATCCGAATGAAAAAATTTATTACATAAAAATATCACACGATAGAGTTTCGTTGAGCTCCTATGGGTTGTACTCAATTGGGAGGTTCTTGCGACGAACCATACCGTCTCCCTGGAACCACTCGCGGCGGAATTGCTTGGCAGCTCCGTCTGGGGTGTTGGTCCACTCGACGGTGATACGGTCGTTGTTGGTGTCCTGAAAAATAGAAGAGATTCAGAAGAATTCCTTTTGAATTCCGAATCGTTACCTCTTGTCCGTAAGCGAAGGCATCGCAAGAAACGGCGAGAAGGACAGCCTCCTTTGGGTCAAGAACTCCGCATGGTGGGTCGACGCCAAGACGCTTCATGTTGGTGGTCTTGATTCCGTATCCAATACGACGGGCGGACGAGTTGATCACCTTGATGTGGTAGGTGTGCTTGTCGTCGTATGGAGCATTGAAGACGATCTTGGCGTTTGGTTGGGTTTGGATGTCTCCTGGTGGGACGGATTGAGCCATGGCGATGATTTGATGGAGTTTGTAGTACTCGATGGAGATTCTACTGGATTTTCTTCCCTTTTATAGCGCTTTCTTATCTCTGCTCCAGATTTCTCCCCCAGATCTCTTAAACTGATAAGAGCAAAAGCTGGAAGTTCACGTGTAAATGGCTTGAATATCTGAAGTTATGATATTTTTCACGCAAAAAGAACGAAGCTAATCAAACTGAAGCCTTCAATTTACAAGTTATCTGCTAACCAAAATCATCCCATTTTTTTCAGAAGTTCATCGGACTCAGTCTCCATCCAATCTACGGTGGCCACTTTGCCTTTCGATCTGTTCTAATTTTCCCAAATGTGTTGATTCCGGATTTCAAGGAAAGTGTTCCTCTTCCCATTCTAAAAGAGGCTTCAGAAGTTCGTACAGCACTTGAGAAGTTCAATTACAATTGGAAGGACTCTGGATTCCGCGACTTTGGAAATCCAGCTCGTCGATATTCCACAACTCAAATGGAATTTTTCGGGCGGCCAGTTGCCGAACGATGGGAAGTGTTGAGGCCATGGATCGAGGGTGGAGCGAAGCATATCGATTAAATGGAGTACTGTATTTTTAATTAGGGTTAGGCATAATGTTAGAATCTATTTTTAGTTTGATGTGTTTCAATACCGTTGAGTTCATTTTTCCAGATTCGACTTTCTTTGTATATGCATTTTTTCGAATCTTCTTTATTATAACGGGATATTCACTTTGTGTCTTATATGTCTTGATCCTTTACCCCTGTGCTCAAGTATTTTATTAGTGTTTCTCTATTGGTTGTGATTATTTTAGTTCAAATGGTTAATGTTTTATTGCTCAATAAAGGATGTACTATATTTAGTTCAACGGGGAGTTGCTCCTGGCCAGCTTGGTGGTTGGATCGAAGTAGAGACAGTTGTTGGATCAGCTTTTGGAAGCCCGACGTAGACGGAATTTTTCGGCTGAAAATAACTACTTAATTGATTTCAAAATGTTTGCTTCATTACATTTTCAGTCGATTCTGGGGAAGTGTTTCCCACAACTTCCTTCGGTGGTTGCTCAGCTGGAATCTGTGGTGGATCAGCTTTTTCAGAAGACGATGACTTCGCCGCGACAGATTCTGGAGCGATATCAACAGAATTTGGCTTCGGAGACGAATCTTGGACTTCCGATGATTTTGGGACTTCGGACGAAGACTTCTCCGAAATGGTTGCGCTGTTAGAAGCAGTTGAAAACGCAAGTGAGGTAAAGAGGTCCGACTAAAATAACCCGATTCAGATAAGAGAAAAACGAATATTAAAAATACAAGTTTGTCTCTCAAATTCCAGACGATGATTGCGACTCCGGCAACAGCAACCACTATGATCGCCTCTTTTCTGTAACTTCTTTTCGGAATAGTAGCTGCGACTTGTGACATTTTCGTAGAACCAAATCGAAAAATAATGATCATTTCTCGAGAAAGTGTTAAATTTCTAGTGATGACGTGTCGCGATTTTTTTTTGAATGAAAAAAAAAACATTTTACAGCGCAAAGACAATGAAATCGAGATCAATCAAATAGAGGTTGTCCATTAATTTCAACAACTTCTTCTTCCACTTCCTCGGCATTTTCTATTAATTGATGGTGATCGATGTGATGATTATCCAGATCCTCCACCCGTTCTCCATCAATCACTTCATCTTCATTAACAAGCATCATTTGCTGAAAATTATGTTATACTAATAAGAAACTTTAATAGTCTATTTTTACCATATTATCCATATCAGACCATTCACCACCCAAATCCATTTGAAAGTGCCCATATCCGTTAACTTCAACACCCGTTTCATCGACTTCTCCTATTATCATATCTCCATCTTCTACTAGCATCGGCCCTTCATCTTCTTGATCATCGTGACCATCGATATAATGTCGAACAACATGTTGAGGGTCAATAGTTCCATCTGGGTTTTGGATGTGAATATATTGGAACTTCCTTCCGTTTTGAATGTAGACCATGTCTTCGAAATCATACTCTCCCGGCAGAACCATCGCCATTCCATCGTAGTTTGGATCATGATCAAAGTCCTGAGCTTCTCCATCTTCATGAGAATCCTCTTGAATCATTGACTGTGAAGTTGAAGGCATATTAGGATCAATGGAATTCTCTATTATAACCTCCTCGTGTTGGGTTGGAATATGAAGTCGCCGATGCTCAATAAAATCGGGGCGGTTATTAAATTTTGTATCGCAACATGTCCAGAACACTTCACCGTTCGATACTTCAATTCTGAAAACGAAATTGTGATTACCCTTTAAAAAAAACAGGAGCAACATACTCAAATGTCGGAAGACCTCCAGTCTCACCCATACAACAGAATGATACTTTTGAATGAACTCGCTCCATATGTTTGAATAAAAGCCGCGGTCGTTCTAACTTCAATCCACAATCCGGACATGTAACTCGTCCGGCCATGTCTCCTTCCGAAATTTCTCCCATAATCGGTTGCCGTACTGGTGGCTCATCATTCATTTCAGTTCTTGGTCTTACACGTTTTTGCTCTTCATCATACTGATAAAACGTTCGTCGGTATTTAAGGTAATCCGGTAATTGTGCCCAGGGACTCTGAATGAAAATTTAAGAAAAGGGTTTCAACCAATTGTCTTACATAATTGTGAACGTCGCTTTTATGAAGATTCAACTCAGACATACTTTGCGAAATGTGTCCACAAAATTTGCAAATGTATTTTTTTCGTCGAGCATGATGAGATGCCACATGAGCTTTAAGTTTATCACTGTCTGGGAAAACCAAAGAACATGAGTCGCAAGTTAATCTTTGAACGGCCTCTCCTCCATATTGATCAATCAGCTGTAACCTAAGCTCATCATTTTTCTTGTGGGCTCTTTGATGAGATTCCATTGCAGTTGGGTGAGCTATATTTACAAGCATATTACATATTACGCACGCTTCATATTGTTCTCCTGTTACAGGTGGTGGACCGTCTAAAACTTTATAATTGATCATTGAATATGTCATTTTACTGACCTCTGCCTAATGCAGCTTTCATTTGCTGGTGAGCTCGTGCTTCATGTCTCAGCCTGTCCATTGTTCGGTGATCACGAGATCTTGCTCTTTCAAACTATAAATATGGACTATGAAACTTCACAATTTTTTCTGTGTTTGAATACCTCTCTTTTCTTCCATTCTCCTGAAATCGTATTGATATCATCTTGAATGTCGTCCATATTTTGCGGATGAAATTCTCTTCCATGTTTTTCGAGCCCTATAGATGTCAAAAAAAGTTTATCTTCACAAAATCGACAGGGGTATGATTCTACATCATTTGCCAGGCCCGGTAAAATTTTTGGTTTGAACATCGACGGATGATTCTGAAAAGAATTAGTTGAAGTGTGCACAATCACAGAATCCGTCTTACATAGTTCACTGTTAACACTCCGGACTTCACTTGAAACCCTTCTCGTTTTAATTTTTCTCCCTCATCATCCCGTAAATCTGAAAATGAGTATTTATCTGTTTTTGCTATTACAATTCTACCTTTTTTAACATGTTTGAACATTACATTTCTTCTCATAATTCGTGGTGGCTTTCGGGGACCTCCTCCAATGATTGTAGCCATTTTACCCACTTCTAGAAATACAATTATGTTTTAATTCAGTCTGGAATCGCCAGAATCAACAAAATTTTGTATGAAAAGAAGGAAAAAAGAAAAATATCAATAAAGAGACCCCGCAAATTCCGGAGAAAAAATTTTCCGGGGAAAAAAAAAACTCCGGAGAAAAGTGGGCGGAGTCGGGGGCGGAGCCTAAATTGCAACCCTGGCACGGTTTTGCCGCATGGTTTTTCTCATGA